TTTTACCATCATTAACAATCTAGAAGGTATTTCACTACGTTTATTAAAGATATTTAAAGTTTATCTCTAGGATAAGCAGATGTTGTCTAAATACAAGAGTCATGTGTATTCTTACCTGAATCCTGGTGTGCTTTGTGTATTTCCTCCAGATCTGTACAGTAATCTAGTGTGACATTTTTTCTGTGTAATAAAGACTGGTCACTGCTGCTCTCTGTCCTTGTTCAGTGTGACTGGTCTTGTATCCACCCCTTTTTTGCAAACACTCTGCAGGGGGTGGACCTGTTGGGTGCCTCACACACCTTTATCTGCACAGGCTGTATGCAGCACAATGATGATGTCATTGCTACATTTACCAGATAATAATTGGATTTGTAAAGGCATTTTGTGCACAAAAGTGGATCTGTGGTTGTTGAATATATTTAATTAAAGCTTTTGTGCCTCAGATTTAAAATGGTGGTGTTTTGCTGCTGCAGCTATGTGTTCACCTGTATGCCCGAAGTTCTACTTTACAGTAATCTGATAGAACTTTCACAATTATTTTTAACACTTACTGTTCTGCATTTCCACTTCAATATTACACATATAGGTTTGTCAGTTCTGTGTATATTTTGCTCTCCCTGATCAACAACTGCCGAGATAAAGTCTCAGCTCTCCCTTACTGAGTGTGCAGACTTCTATTAAGGCAGAGGAAGAGCAAGACTTTTTCAGTGTGTCTTAATTATGTTTAAAGCATTTGTTATATGTTGCAATATGCTGTCATTTGTCATGGTGGGAAACTGTCACATTGGTCCTGGTAGCAAGAAGCAATGCAGTCTTTCCCCAGGCTTTAGGTCACAGGCGAGCAGTATTCATTATTCTCAAAGTTCTTTTAATTTGGAAATGCCAACATTTTACTTTTTTCTGTGTCTTCTATTCACGCGTGCACTTTTAAAGTATGCGTAAACTAAACACTCTAAATTACTAAAAATCTAATCTTCAATTGGTAATGCAATTTCAGAGATCAGTTTTAGTATTTTTAAATCTATAGCTTTCACAAGGCTTCAATGGGTTTCGGAACTTGCATTGGTGTAGGATTTACAGTATTAGGCACATTAGCAGGTTTTTTTTTTTTAAGCTCCTAAAACGCTGGAAAAAACACTGGATAAAAATTGGTGGTAATTGTGTTTTTTAGTAGCGTTCAGGAGCGTTAGCTCTTTATTGGTGTTTTTACAGTACATGTGGGGAAAAAAAAAAGCTAGAAAAAAAGCTGTTAGAGTTTTAGTAGTGTTTTAGGGGAGTTCCGCGTGGGAAAAAACTCTCCCAAAAACCTTTTTTTTTTTTTTTTTTTTTTTTTTTTTTTTTTGCTCCTAAATGCTGCAGCTTGAAAAATGCTATTAACCTAAAATAGTGTGCATGGACACATAGGATGACACTATTTAGCTTCTAGGTGCAGAAAAATAAATGCTGATAACTGCTTCTAGGAGCTTAAAAAAACACGTGTGTTTGTGGAAACTTAGAGTCGGCGGTTAGGAGGTATCATGTTGTCTCCTTGCCGCCTTTCAAACACCTCTGAAACGCAATTCAAACGTGGATCACTCTTCATGAACTCACCAGTTTAGACTCAGGTTTAAACTTACCCCAAATTCTAGAGTAGAAGTGTACACCACAGGAACTGTTGCTAAAGCCTCTGCATCTGTAAGCAGGCCCACATCTATATACCAGCTGTTCCTGAATGGTAATGCATTTCTCTGCACATTTTGACTCCTTTAGCTTTAATTGGAAATAAAGTGAAGCACCAAGTTACATAGCAACAAGATTTGCTAAAATAAACTATTAATTTGGATCTAGTTGAACAGGAAAGATCAGAGTCTCCAGAGATTATCATAAACATAAAGTCTGGCAACGAACATGAAGAACAAAGTCCTGAACATAGGTCTGATGGTGCTAACAGTTTTGCCTTGGAATATTGTCATAAATGGGCATTTGTCATATCTCTTATGTGGATGCTCCAAGGACTATGATGGAATGAATGAATTTAAAGGTGAAAATTGGAACGTCATGTAACGTATTGCTTTGTTCTGTAACAGTGAACTGTAAGACGACTGATCCGTATATGTGGGTTTTAATTTAATTTACACCGACTGCACAGAAGCCTCATGAGGTGGCATGCACTAGGGTTTTCTGTGGTTTATATTTCTTGTCACCGACATATATAAATTCACTATTCTGTTGGGCAAACCTCCGAACAATTAGCACATTTAAATTGTGGAGTATATATGAACAGTGCTCCAAGCTATCCCATTGAATTGGAGACATCCCCGTAGCATTCGAAACCTGCTATCCCGAGAAAGTTAGAACCTTAGAAGATCCTTTGAATGTATACCTCTGCACAGCATCTGGATAGATCACGTGGATTTAAATGGTATCCAGAATCGAAGTTCAAAAATTATAATTACATTTAAAATTTACTGTCTTAGAAACTCCTATGCTGTTCTAAGTAGCAACTCAAGTTCAGTAATCCATGGAGCAGCCAATACACTATTTTAGTACTGCAGGACTAAATGTCCAGCAAGTATAGCAACATAAAAATCCAGGTAATACAAGCTGCTAAAAATCTCAGAGCAGAGCAATGTTATAATAACAATTTGGCCTTATACAGATAAAACTATAATGTAACAGTAATGCAGGCCATAGACAGGTCGAACATCGGCTGATTTTTCGAATGATAAACGAAAAATCGGTCGTTCGTTCGGCCGACATTACCACCAATGATTAAAAAAATCGTCCGACTAAATCATAAAGTTCACCCCGTAACTTCTGTACCTTGCAGGTCACAGCTCATGCTCAGATTTTTTATCGTTAAAATGATCGTCCGATTTGGCCATCATTGCTAGGAAAATCGGCCGATCGGCCAAATCGGCCGCAAATTTCCCAACATAACCAATAATCTGAAAGTGCAAAATACACAAAAAACGGCCGACGAACCAATCCACTAACGGTACGAAAATCGGAATGATTTTTCTTTTGGCTGAAAAATCGGATGATTAGCGACCCATCTATGACCTGCATTGGTATCCAATAAGTACTGCGTACTGATCGTAGGTTGTAATTAACGTTGTATTATAATCATGTGTGTGCTGAGCATTCACACTAACTTGAGGATGCCATTAAATGTACAGCTGAATGCCAAGACTCTTGACAGAGCAGGGCTTTGCCATTACCTGTGGGACCTGGGTTGCACACTAGGGCCTTATATATATGTTGAGAACTTGCATTTGTAGCTTCTGGCTTTGTTTCTGCTTTGTGGAAGTTATTGGCTTCAAATCCTTAATTGTACCTCCATGATATAGAGTAAATAAAATAGAAATTCATAGGGTGGTAGGGACCCCTGATAAAGGGCGATGATAGGTGTGCAGATCAAGAACACAAGAGCAGAGGTGTCACCACCAAAGGTATAAGAACCATGGGAGGGATTAACTCCTCCATATCTGTGGAAAAGTAAAATATAAGTTTGGCTTAATGTTATGCTTTAAGACTTTTGTAAACAGAGTTCCAGGGTGATTAATGGGATTATTGGTCTTTAAAGTACGGCAGTCCATAACTTATGCAATTTTCTTTCCTTCTACTACCACCCTTATCAACACAGTTAGTGATTGACTGACTCGACTTGTGTATAACTAGGGTACCCATATATGGATGGAAATTTGAATGGCCCGTACTGAACCGGACAAATTTTGATCCATGTATGGCTGGCTTAAAGCAGCCATATTGTATAGAGAACACTGACAGCAGTGCTCAGACATTCATAGGCAGCTTTGCATTCTGTGAATGAATACAAAGCTTCCTCTTATTGGCCAAGTTGGAGATTGTGATGTCATCAGTTCACCTCAGCCAATCAGAGTAATCTTGGTATTCATTCACAGAAAACAAAGCTGTCTATGAATGGCTGAGTGCCACTCAGACCACCTCTGTTTTGTTTTGGGTGTAAGACGGGACGTCTCTGTCTAACAGGTGGAACCCATCACTGTGTACTGTGTGTAATTGAAACTAAATACAGTTCGTAAAGCACAGTGCAGAAAGGAAATAGTTTGTTGGACCAGCTTGGTCCAAATGAACTATTTCAAGTAACAGGAAACTTGGAGATCAGCTTTTAAGCCGACTGGCTTCTCTTGCTATGCCTTCCCCTTATAATCTGATTACTGTTATGATAGAAATTACAGGAAGGTTTTATCAGGACAAATTCAGGCACATACCAAATTTCAGCGGCAGGTGGCAGAGCAGGTAAAATCTGTCATTGTTAGTTCTGGGAAAGGTGGGTTTCCGGGATGGTTGAATGCTTCTATTTACATTAGCAAGATTATGTCAATCACAAAGCCCACCTGCTGCAGACAGGTGTCTGCTTTTAGTAGAACTGAAAGTTTCACAAAATCGACATAACTGTTCTCATTGTTATTATTATACAGGACTTATATAGCGCCGACAGTTTGCTCAGTGCTTTACATTATGGAGGGAGGCAGTACAGTAACAATACAGTTCAATACAAGAGGGAATCGAGGGCCCTGCTCCTTGGAGCTTACAATCTAAGAGGGAGGGGATAGTGGTACAAGAGGTAATTAGCTGTGGGGGATGGAGTGGTAGGAGGAGTAGGGGATTCCAGTATTAGCTGTGGCCGGGGTAAGCTTCCCTGAAGAGATGAGTTTTCAGAGTGCGCCTAAAAGTGCGCAGAGTGGGCGATAGCCTGATAGTTGACCTCATCTATAATTGAAGATGCACCTTTTAGCCACAGCTGGACTAGGAAGACTTGTAAGCCATTTGTATTGCTCCCCTTTTTAATTCCCAGCTGGCATAATTTGTATGTGTCACATACAGTAGATAAATGCCTGCCATTTTTCTTGTTTAATAAACTCACGTCCAAGGGCTCCGAAGACATTGAACGGTACTTGGGGAGGGAGTGTTGAGCCGCTGCTAGAATTGCTTAGTCAAGCTTTCTGTCATGTAATGCTGTTTTCTGCTTTCTGCAGGTAAATATCAACTTTCCCCAACAGTGAACATGCCTCAGGATGACACTGTGATCATTGAAGATGACAGATCCCCAGCAATGCCTTCCCAGCTCTCTGACCACTCGTCTTCCAGCTCACACGATGATGTAGGATGTGCTACAGACTCTGCAGGAGCCTGGTCAAAAAATGTTACTAGTGAATCCACAGAGAGGTAAGACTGGATTGTATTTCTTTGTAAGGTCAGCACATTGTACTTTAAGTTAAGCCTCAAGCAAGTTCTGCTTAAACTCTGACTAATAGAGATAAAAAGAATTTTTAAAAGAGCTGCAGACAAACCACAAAATCTGTGTTTCTGTTTTGAACGCACTGTTTGCCAGAAAAGTACTAACTTGCCTTCAGTTCTTCAAAACCTGCTTTGGAAAGAGGAACCTTTTTATTTGCACTGTACTAGCCTGTGCAAACCACTTAATATGATCCAGTGATGGAAACCTGGTGAGATTGTAGGTTGTAAAACGGAGTCAGTGCTGGGATCCATATTTTGACTCTGTTACAAGTATTTCTAATGCTAAAAGGAGATTTGTGCATAATTTGGCCGTTAAGCAACAAACTAGACTCTGATTGCCCTGCTCTATGGAGCAGAAAAGGCCCATCATGCTCCTTAGCCCCTTTTAGTGTTGGTACAGTGTTCAAGTACGCCAGTCGTGAGAGAACTAGGAATGCTGTTGTCACTGGCTACCATCTGAAAGTGCTGTTTGCCGGCCTCTGCTGTGTCGAGCCTTTTAATCCTTTTAACCACCTCCTGCCCGCCATATAGTAATATGACGGACGCAAGGTGGTTCTCTCGTTCTGGGAGAACGTCATATGACGTCTTCCCATTCTAACCACGCATGCGCGGCTCCCTATGAGACATAGGGGGAAAAATGGATTTTGAAAAGTGTTTATCTGATTCGTGCTTCGTTGGAATGCCTTGAACTCCTGGGAAAGTTTGCCTTCTCTTATACGAGGTGCTAAATTGTACAGCTCTGGTAGACAACCCGGCATTTCGCTCAGAAATGTTTTATAGCTCTGGGGTTCCCTGCTGTGCCTCTCAGAGAGGGAGGGGGGGAAAGAATGAGGGGAGAAATGGAGATTCTTAACAAAATGGAGGCTGTGTCCTGCCTCTGGTGCGCACGTTCGCAACAGGAACTATATAGGAAAAGGACAGCAGTGGCTTCTGTTGACTTTTAGAGGGACAGACAATTATTATTGCTTTATCTATTCGATCCCTAAGGTACAGAAAGTTTTTAGAAAAAGAATTCAGACTTTAATTTAGACTTTCAGACATCACTTTCTGCATGCTTGTTCCAGGTCAATGAATTATGAGTTAGTAAAGCCAGGTTCAGAGCGACAACCCTTGACCTTCAAAAATATTAGGATTGACAGCTCATATTTTGATCTTCACAGGTCCTCAGAAATGTAAAATATTTAAGTTCTCTCTGATACCCACATTTGTTCATTTAATTTGTAGTATCAAATGAATTCATTCAGTTTGATAAAACAGCCAAAATTGATACCTATTAATAGATATGGGATAGAGCCAATTGTTTTGTTCATTTGCCATACTATCTGGCAGGTTTGCATGGTTCTCATCACACAGTAAAACCCAGAGTTGATAGTCACCTGGAATTTGATAATTATTAAACAGTCTGAAGACTACAGCCTCCTGGTGTAATTGGGGAATTGTGCATTAATTTGCAAGCCTTGTAATTATGTACATCAATAAGCAAAATAAAGCTCTCAGTGGAGCCACCTCCTAAGGCTGTAGTGATAATTAGCACAAGCAGTGAGAATTATTATATGCCGCTTCTGCAGTTGGTCCTTCTCTTGAGCATGCTTTTAGAGCATCAGCGAGATTGCCGGGGAAAGAGTGAAGCAGAGCACCTTCCCTGTACAGCTCGTCTCAGCTATTCTGAAACACTGTTGTGGAAGGGAGCTAGTCATTACAGCTGCCACATATTTACTTGCTTTGACATAGCTTGATAGTTCTAGGATGGTAGAATAACAATCCCTTATTTCTTGGGAATTTAGTTCCAGTGCTCTTTTTTTTTTTTTTTTTTTTTTTTTTTTTTTTTTCTCTTTTCCTTTGTGCTGCTCAATGTTTGGAGCCATGCCAGTTACAGTTTAGGTGAGAGATTATGTGCATGGGCAAATGTAGCATACTTCCAAATGTGTTTGAGACACTTCTGAGGTCATCATAGGTGCATTTGGCTTGTAGTTGATGACCTCCTAAACTGCTTCAACATACCTATTAACTTGTATGGAGAAAGGGGCAGATGCAGTGCGAACAATAGTCCACATAGACAGGTCCTACCTACATTGCTGTTAAAGAAAACCTACATTGAGGATATATATGAGTTGCCATTCCTGGCCTTTTCTAGAAATATTATTGCCTGGCTCTCATGCTACATTGAATGGTTTTAGTAAGTTCGAAGACACTGACTATGAACAAGTATCTGGGAGTAGGAGTTCTGATTTCCATCTGATGTCTATGGTTTGCATATTTGTTTCATATCTGTGTCACAAAATGTTGAAACCAGAGGTAGCCAGGCAATGTTCTCTTTAATAAAAACTGGTCAGGATTTCTAAAAATCAGGGAAATGGGAATTGGGAAACGCTGGGCGATCCATGTGAGTGTCTGAAAGTGGAGGTGCCACCAGAATATCTGGAAAGGTGTTACCTAATCAATATGGAAAAACAAAAAGAGAGGAAGAAAAAAGGCTGCACACCTAAAAGGCTAACCTCAAAGGAATTTTATTATGCACCATAAACAGTTACAGGCCATCACAGGCATGACAATCCTGCATAACAGAGGACTCTACCCCCCCCCCCCCCCCCCGAGATATCAAGAGGAAACCCTCAAGGATGGACCAGGATAGAATTGGTCCACTGGGACTGACCTGACCCCAACACCCAACCCCAGACACAACCACCCCACTAGCCCTATCAACCCCCCAATACCCCCACAGGGACCCACAAGAAACCCTTCCCCTAGATAGAGGACCCTCCTGTCCCACCACCCCCCTCACAAAGGAGAGAGGAGCTGTGAGAGATTACTGCCCACTGACACCCCCAACCCCCCCAACACCCACTAGATGGAAGTCAGACTAATACACACACCGGAGGCTAAACGACAGACATAAATGCATAAACATAGCATTAGTATATATAGCAATGGCCATGGGTACTGGCCAAAGAGGATAACAAGGTATAAAGTCACTGTACAGGGCAAAAGCCTCAAAGTCCATGCATGACGTGGTATAAATGACCTCTTGTGTGACCAGATCCAGATCAATGGAGGCAATTATGAAGGTAAGGCAATGAAAGGTTATTCATGCAAAAGCTGTGATAAGGTGGATGACAGTAGTGCAGCCTACTGAAATCGATCAGCTAATAACCAAAGAAGGTACATAAGGTGCATAAGAGATCTCAGCAGGAATGCGGGAACGCATTGCACTAAATGTGCAAGGTGTGCTGGGGGGGATCTAATGTTGCTTTAATGGGATCAATTTTTGTGGGGGGTCTATTGTTGCTGGTGGGGGATCTATTGTTGCTGACTGATGCAGGGTCTATTGATACTGGCTGCGGGGAGATCTGTTGTTGTTGCCAGTGTTCTATTGTTGTTGGAGTATTTTGTTGCTGTGGGTGGGGGGGTCTATTTTTGCTGGCTGCAGGAGATCCATTTTACTGCTTCTCTTGAGATCATTAAATTCCAAACAAATTACTTAGTACGACAAAAAGATACTTGGTTCTGTATTCTTTAGAAGGACTGTACTTGGAGGTGGTTAGGGGTGTGGAACCAAGGAACAGTGCTCGGAGGTCGGTAGGGGTGACTTGAAAAGGGAGAGTTTCTGTGTGTGTGTGTGTGTATGTATGTATATATATATATATATATATATATATATATATATATATTATATATATATATATATATTTATATATATATATATATATATATATATATATACAGTTGCAAGAAAAAGTATGTGAACCCCTTGGGATTACGTGGAGTTTTGCATGAATTGGGCATAAAATGTGCTCTGAACTTCATCTAAGTCACAACAATAGAAGAACACAGTCTGCTGAACATAATACTACACAAACATTAGATGTTGACATGGTTTAATTGCACATAACATGTAAACATTCACAGTGCAGGGAGGAAAAAGTATGTGAACCTTTGGACTTAATAACTGGTTGACCCTCCTTTGGCAGCAATAACCTCAACCAAACATTTCCTGTAGTTGCAGAACACCTGCACAACGATCTGGAGTAATTTTGGACCACTCCTCTTCACAAAACTGTTTCAGTGTAGCAATATTCTTGGGATGTCTGGTGTGAATCGCTCTCTTAAGGTCATGCCACAGCATTTCAATCGGGTTGAGCTCAGGACTCTGACTGGGCCACTCCAGAAGGCGTATTCTGTGCTGTGGCAGCCATTGTTTTGTTGAATTACTTGTATGCTTTGGGTCATTGTCCTTTTGCATCACCCATCCTCTGCGGAGCTTCAGTTGGTGGACAGATGGTCGTACGTTTTCCTGCAAAATGTCTTGATAAACTCTGGAATTCATTTTCCCATCAATGACAACAATCCGTCCAGGCCCTGAGGCAGCAAAGCAGCCCCAAACCATGATGCTCCCTCCGCCATGTTTTACAGTGGGGATGAGGTTTTGATGTTGGTGTGCTGTGCCTTTTTTTCTCCATACATAGTGTTGTGTGTTCTTCCCAAACAACTCAATCTTGGTTTCATCTGTCCACAGTATATTTTGCCAGTAGTGCTGTGGAACATCCAGGTGCTCTTTTGCAAACTTCAAACGTGCTGCAATATTCTTTTTGGACAGCAATGGCTTCCTCCGTGGTGTCCTCCCATGTACTCCATTCTTGTTTAATGTTTTCCTTATTGTAGATGTGTCAACAGAAATGTTAGCATGTGCCAGAGATTTCTGTAGGTCTTTAGCTGACACTCTGGGATTCTTCTTTACCTCATGCAGCATTCTGCGCTGTGCTCTTGCAGTCATTTTTACAGGACGACCACGCCTAGGGAGAGTAGCAACAGTGCTAAACTTTCTCCATTTGTAGACAGTCTTTCTTACTGTGGACACATGAACATCAACGCTTTTGGAGATACTTTTGT